AAAATTCAAGAGGTTATAAGCGGACAGTTCATGTGGGACCCATCGACCAAGCTTTGCTACCTTGCCGAGCTTTTCTAGTCCACGTGCAACCGTCGAATGATCATAGCTAAGCATGGTCGCCATTTCTCTGGTGAGGTACGGGTCCTCCTCCACGGTGGAACGTAGTACTTCCAAATCCAACTCCATCGGCCGACCCGACCTCGGAGCATCTTCGAGAGAAAAGTCTCCTTTCTTGAATTTGGCGAACCAATTCTTGCATGTCATGTAAGAGATGACGTCCTCACCGTATGTATCCACCAGCTTGGTATGGGCTTCCTTTGCATTCCAGCCGAAATCGTGGAGCAAAACCAAACAGTGGCGCAGGTACGTTTTGTCACAGTGCAAATTGTGCGACATTGTGTACTGCAAATGCAAGCTCGGTGAGTGATAGCTAGTGTAATGAAAGAGTATAATGTAAACGGATCGAGCAGAAGCATACGGGAAAAAGAAATCAAATGTGGGGCGGGATCGTGGCGAACACCCCTATGGCACCATATGGCGTACAGCGTGGATAAGACAAATGAAACAAAGTAGAAAAAATGCCATCCGCTGAGAGCTTTACAACACCATTAACATGGAGTTAACAACATCAAAGTGTGGAACATAAAACAAAACACGGCCGCAACAGGAAGTGCTCTTTGTACTACCGATCGCCGTTGACCTCACCCGGAAGAACATCTCAGTCTTTTGCCATCTGAATTGGTCCCATTTAGAATAAGGAGTGAAGCGAGTCCGTAATACAGATCTTCCTTCATATGTTCTTAAATAACTTACCGTTTTCTCATCTGAACAACTAGGGTGGCAGCTTGTTGAGGGGTGTGTGGTCATTCTATCGTGGGGTCGTCGCGCCAGTGGGAGGAGCGAGGTGGCGTGGCGGCCGCGCGTACGTGTTTGTTGCGTGGCGTTCAAATTGTTAAAGGGCCGATGATCCCTTTAATAATTTGCGCGCCAAGCAACAAAATCTCAATGTGCCAACACTCGCACACCAAGAAGCCACTTTTATGAAAATCGCTGGCTGCACCCTTCCTATTTCACGCATATCCTTTCGTTTCAGAATCATTCCGATTGTTCCTTCAAGGTTCCCAGGTGCCAGTAGTAGCTGCTGAAGTTGTTTGAACGAAAAAATTTATTAAAAGTTCATAATTTATTCCAAGAAACACCATTCAAACAAGAGAGAGATTTGCAAAAACAAAGTGCGTTCACTAGTCTCGGAGATCAGAATGCAAACGCAGTGAAAAAATTAAAAAAGCGGAATTCGTTACAGAAAAGTATTAGCTACTTGATATGAGTGACTTCATAAATCGTTAAAACATTGTTACATAAAGTACAGTGAAAAAGTACATCACTGGGGAAACGAAACAAATTACAAGAAAAGATGAAACACAAGTTTCCAAAGGTAGATCTAACAGTTTTCAAACTTTACTCTTCACTGTCCGAGAATGCGAGCATGAAAAAGCGGGATATTCCACACGACGACCTTCTTTCCCATACATATGACGGATATTGTAGGCATAGAACTAAATATTTTCACCATATATTGAGAATCGAAAAATCCAGGACGAAGGACTAGGGAGCCTACAGAACCTTGTCAGAGTCATTCTTTTTCATAAACTAATCACGCATAAACATCATCACTTCGTCCAGAGACAAGCTTCTAATTCTTTTCAGGAAGAGACCGCATTGCCTGAAAATTCACATTATGATGTTAAGCACATGGAACGTGGTAACTGAAGGTAGCTTAAGTGCAAAACCAACCTTGGTTTTCAAACGTTTGCCCTATCGAAACCGAGGATTCGACAAGTTGAAGCCACAGAGTAGAATTATCTAATAGACCTTTTCCCTCGAAGAAAGTGTTCAGATCCACCACCAACTAATAACTAACGAAAAGGGTGTCGTTTTGGAAATGCGAAAAAGTGAGGTCTCGCGATCCAAGAATGAAACTCTGAAACTGGAAAAGAAAGAATGAAAATCTGCAAGTGCACAGCACGGTGTGGATTTATCAGAAATTTGAGAGAATGTTCACGAGCCTAAATCACTTCATGTGTGTTATACTAGAAAGTGAAAGAGAAGAAAAGAAAACAACCGAAGCGGTCTATGGAATGAAAACTGGGATAAACACAGGTCAGAATCAACACTATGGGGGATTACTTTACAATAGGCGAGAGACTAGTCCGGCGAAGACAGATGCGCTACGAAAAAAAAGAAAAACTTCAAGATTACATACAGGCACGAGACCTAATTGAGTTCTCATTATGGAATATTTCATCGTTCTGAACAAAAACAGTAAAATAAGCTGCAAACCCGGAACTCATTGTAGTTACTCTGACGAGAGAATTAAACATCTGCAAAATGCTGAAAGCAATAGCCATTTTGAAACCAGTGATCGAGAAAGTGATCGCATGAGCATCGAAGCGTTGCTAAAGGACGCCGTGAAACAACGCTAATCCCTTGCTCCGATGACAACTCGGGAGTACGGTAATGCCACTCCGGGATTGCCGCGTTGCGGCGTGCCGTGCGCGGCGTGTGCGGCGTCGCTTGGCTTGCCGACGATAGAATCACACGAGTCCTTGAGCATCCCGGCCATACGACAAAAATAGGAGTCAGTTATAAGCGAATAGATTGTCTTTTGAATTTTCACATAGCTCAATCCGAAGCTCCCTGTTCTCCCCTTACAGGGTCTAAAAACCCGGTATTTGCTAGGTTTTGGACGGTTCACTTCCGAGTATGCGAAAACAATGTGTGGGGTCATTGACTAACCTCCTGTCTTTGAGGCTCAATAGTCCTAACCATTTTAGGCGCTCCTCATACTTTGGCACGCTATTCGGTTTTGTTTTCGGGTGTACTCTAAGGTACACCAGTCTTGTGAAAGTCTGCTGCACCTTTTTCACCTTAGCTATATCTCTTTCCAAAAAGGGATTCAAAATCTGACAGTAGTTTACGTGTGGTAAGACGTATGCATTTCGCAGTCGGACCAGCGTTTGGTTCTTTAAGTTGAATGTTTCGAAAGATTAGGAAAAGCGCAGCGAATGCTTTCCGACCACCTGCTCAATCTGTACGGAAAATTTCAAGTCATTCCTGTAACAAGACTCCAAGATCTTCGAGCTTACTGCAGCCTTCCAGGAAAGCCCCATTGATTTCATACCTCGGCGAAACGTTATCCCCCAAGTGCAAAAGGGAACACTTGTTTAAGTTGATCGTCAAGCCCCAAGAGGCAGCCCACTCCGACATTTTCACTAGGGATAGCCTAAATGCTGCTTGAACTTCACTCTTGTTGGTAGTATCGTATGCGGCATATATTTTTATGTCATCAGCATACATCTGAACCTTCACCTCGGGGGAAGTAGTAATGTAAGCAGGGAGGTCCAATATACAGGGGGGGGGCAAAAAAAGACATTTCGACCGAGTCACATATCAGCAAAGTTTTCGCTGCCCAGAGAGAAGACGTGGATACGAGTACCAGGGCGGAAGATACCCAAGATGTTCCTCGATAAGAGCTGGCTCTCGCCCATCACCTTCATGTACACCAAAATATGAAGTCATCTCCAGTCGCAGCCTGACTGGAGAAGACCTTTGGAATTCATGTCACCTCCAAACAGCTGCGAAACTTCTAGTAGTCACCCATGGATAGCTACCTGGAGACCAGTACTCTCGATCTGGAAGACCTCCATCATCGAGCAGCTCCGTCAACGTCGCTACGGTCTAGGACATCATCTTCACCTCAGTCGCCAAGGCGCCAGTTGATGGTGGGGACCGGACGTACCTGGAATGGAGAGACCGATATTTTCTTCGTGGGCCCCGGACTAAAGGTGAGCGCTGGCGGTTACATCGAGCAACTCGAGAAGAATATCCTCCCCACATGTCGTCGCCCGTACCTTCTTGGAAACTTTGTACTGCTACAGCATTGAGTGCCACCACATGAAATCGAAGGGCGTTGGAGAAACACTCGCCTACTTGGAATGGAGGGCGTTGAGTACCTGAGGAAGGTGGAATATTCAAGCAGGTCATCTGACCCAAACCCCCTCAATTACCTGGTTCGGGCGGAGTTCAATAGGGTGGTCTACGGTGGCGGAGAAATCGACTATCTCGCTGATCTCAGGCACCCACTCACGGTCGCGTGGCAGAATCTCTCGATGGCGCTCCTCCAGAAGGCTGTGGCGGAGTATCATGATAGTATTCAATATGCTCTTTAATACGGTGGTACTCTCCTCATCATTACGGACTGTCGGGGCGTATCAGCCAGTAGGAGTGCGCACACTGTTTGAAGCCGTTCTCAGCCTTTTCGTTGAAACGCGTATGCGACAAAAAGTGGTAGAAAACGAGTAATACGAAGGATATAATACAGTAATGTCACTTGCCCGCTTCAACAATTGGTGCAGAACGACTTTGGTACCGCGCCAAACGCAGCCGCACTGACACGCCCCGTAATGATGAGGATTGTAGAAATGTCCGATAAGAATTCACTAAAGTGTAACTTATAGCGCCTCGAAAGTCGAGGAAGAAAAAAGTCTTTTTTTGCCCCCCCCCTGTATACTAAAAAAGCAACGATGACAAAATGCCTCCCTGGGGTATACCACTTTGACAGTGGTGTCTGTCAGAGAAGCTGTGACGAACCCTGACGGTCATGTATCGTTGATTTAGAAAAGATCTCAGCCAATCTAGAAGCTGCCCAGAAATCCCCAGATGCTGCAATTTGACTAGCAATCTACGGTGGCAGACCCTATCAAATGCTTTTGACTAGTCTACGGTGGCAGACCCTATCAAGTGCTTTTGACTAGTCAACGAAGACATGTCTACGCATTTCCATTGTTCAGAGCGAATTACAAGTCAAACAATGCTATCCAATAAACTGGATACCGTGGAGGCCCCACTTGAGAAACCATGCTGTTCGAATCATGTTGGAACTTCTCGAGCCAGTATCGTGTCTCTGATTAGTCTCTCCATTAGCTTATTGGGAGCAGGCGTAATGCTTATCGGTCGAAAATAGGAGTTTGCAGCCGTAGGAGATTTAGGTATGGCCGTGACTCAGGTTTCTTTCCTCAAATCCGGCTCCCAATCCCATCTCCTGGGTAAAAGAAGACCCCCGAAAGTCTGCTCTTCTATTTGTGGAATGCCCCTAACATCTGGTACGTTCTGCTCAGAGCCACTGCTGGAGAATACGGAAGCAAAATATTCGCCTAATATTCTGGCTTTGATATCTGGCATGTGTTTCTTGCCCGAGGTATCAAGCAAGGTAGGCAACCCTTATCTCTTGTTTCCCGTCGAATATAGCGGAAAAACCGTTTCATTTGACCCTCTCGTGAGACGATGTCCACGATTGGCAGAAGCTTCTTTACATGGCCGTCAAGGTCCCGACACACCTTTTTGCAAAGGTTATCTTTCAATGGACGGTTAAGAGAGAGAAATAATCTTTCTTTCTGAAGTAGTAAGTTCCGTATATGTATTGGATATGCCGTTCTTACCGTTCGAGGAGTTTTGAACTTAACAAAACGCCATGTATAATGATTCACAAAATCTTCTGTAGACATCGCTAGCTGATGTGAAGTTGTCAAACAAGGTGAGCCAATCCACACTGAGAAAATAAGAGTTCAATGCTTTGTAGTTTACACTGCTGAAATTCGGGACGATTGTGGAATCAGCGATACGGTGCTTTTCAAGAATTTTGAACGAAACTACCCCATGGTCGGAAGCAGGGCACGCCATTGCGTTGTGATCATTTCCTGAAAAATACGACCCCCCCTAATTCCATCTTCAAGTACGACCCCCCTCCCCACGTTACCTCTTCCCTAGATTTTTCCAACCTCCTACCACTTTGTCTATTTTTTTCCCAAAAAGTTTCTGGTTTTTTACAAAATTTTGCTGTCGAGCGGGGGGGGGGGCAGTACCTACGTACGTCCCAAGCACGTCCAGCACTCTGGCGCTGGTGTAGCATACCTGACAACTACGTACGAGCGAAGGGGCGGATGAATAGGACCGCTACCACTACAAACACGAACACATAGATCCCATCACAAGGGCCCATGAATATATAAACAAACAAGAGGACTCACGACGTGACGATTAATAAACAGATGAAAGTACATTCCCGGACTTTTCTGATTACAGGAGCACATTTGCTTGCAATTGGGAAGCCCTATTTTCACTCTCATGAGTTCACACCTTTCAAACACCCTGCGTGAAGCCCATGCAATGCGCATTGCACATGCTGACGCCAATTGCGCCAATGGCCTATTACCCATGATATGAATATCGAGAGATTAGAGATATATATAGATAACGAACATAACTTCGAGACACTGACGTCTTCTGGCCTCGCGACGCATTGAATATATTATCAAGGTGATCCGCTGCGCGCGAGCGCTGACAATATACAAAATGACCACAATTCGGAATTTTTTCGAATGTAGCAGTATAAGCGACGCGATACAACAATAAAATGATCAGAAAGATAAGAATCTTCAAGCTTCCGGGCACCAGTTCCTTTTTTACGAAGGTCGTGTATGAAGATCCGACCACACTCGGACGTACAGATCTCTGGAACGAACGTTTTTGAAATCGCTCAATACAGGTGACAAGAGCCAACCTAGCTCTACTCATTCCCACTTACCCCTCTCCGATAGTTCACTTTCAACGAAGTTATGGGTGTTCAAATGAGGGTACTTTCACGTGTTTGGCTTGAAATTGGCTCCAAACCGTAAAATAGCGCGCACCAATGCGCTTGTATGAGCGCGCTGACCGCGAACAGCCAAAATTCAAAAGTAATCCATAGTTCCGTGAGCGGTGAGTTTTTTCTTATCCATTTTATTGTGAATTACTTTGGTTGTTTGTTTTGTTGAGTTTAATTTTGTTTTGTTGAATTTGATTTTGTTGTGAGGAAATTGCTCAGGATTCAATTTCTACGGTTTCATAGGTAGCTTTTGCAATGATTCTTTTCTAGATTTTGCGGATTAGTGGATTGGGATTTACCTAGACCAGATGAGGAGGGTTGGTGGGCGAAGTGTCTTGAAGTTTTTTGTGAGGAAGGAGGAAAAAGTTTCAGCAATATTTTTTTAGTTTTTTGGCCTAGGAATAGTTCGATAGTGCCTAGTTCTATTTATTGTCATCTACATCGTCCCTTTTGAGCTTCTTTTTACTTGTACCGTGTATCACCGCTCTCTCCACTTCAACATGGGCCATGCGTTTACGACCCCCCCCCTCCATCGCGGGCAAATACGACCCCCCTGTTGTGATGATCACAAAGATGGCGTGCCCTGGTCGGAAGGAGAGAGTGGTGGTATACATTCACATGCAATTGATGAGCTTAGTATGATATCGAACATGTTGCGGCCGTGTGTGGGCTGCGTTACGTACTGCATGTGTTTACAGCTACTGAAAAAATCAAGAAATTGGCAGAGGTATGGTTTATTGGTTGTTTATACTCCCACTCTATGTTAAGGTTGAAGTCACCTAGCAGAATAGTGTCGTTATAGACTGAGCTAAGATCAAGGAGATGATCCAGTAATGTTGAGTCATCGGCTGGCGTAGTGTTTGGAGGGCGATAGACTGGGATGATCTCCAGAGAAGAGGCGGCCCCATGTGTAAAATATCACAGCAGAGTTGGGGTCATGTTGGTGTTCAACGTCACTTTCGTGCACTTAAGAAAAGAGCTCACCATGCGGCAGACTCCTCCGCCCTTTCTCTGGGTACGGTCCTTCCGATACAGGAAGTAAGGGAAACCACCGGTCAATTCAGAGTCAAGAATATGCGGGGTCAACCAAGTTTCTGTTATTACAAGGATGTCAGGCTTCATTTCAGATAAAAAAGCATGTAGATGAACTAATTTTTTGGTAATACTGCGAGCATTGAGGAGAAAACATTTTAAATGATGTTCCTGCAGACCACCATGCATCGTTACAGGTTTCCCAACCTTTGGCTTGGGAGGTCACTGATATGTCTAAGCTCTCCTCTGGAGATCACCCATTCATGTCTATCCTTTCCCCTGCTTGTTGCCTGAGTTCGTACTCCCTTTTCCTCTCTTCTTCGGTCACACTCATCCTAATGAAAGCATTTTTGAATGGTAGACGCCTTGAGGCAGTTAGCATTTCCTGAGGCCGTTTTCTAGTGAGTCCTCGATGGTAGTACCAACTTGAAGCCTAGGTCGACCAGCATCCGGCCTACCCAATCGATAAAGCTCCACAGGACGGCATTCGACTTTGAGGGTGTCCAGTAGATCACTTATTTTCATCCTCTAGATAACGTTGCCTCTCCGATGGTCGCATCTGAGGTGGAGCCTCTTCCAACCCACTTATAACGAGGCTACGGGATCGTTTTTCGGCCTCAACGGAGGTTGAAACCTCTTTAAAAATTTTATCTGATAGAGCTACTAGCATCCTCCCAATGATTGGGTCTGAGTTTCTTTCCATGATCGCTTTGAGAAGATCGCTTGCGCTATAGTTCGAAAACTCCACGTATGATGATGAAGGAGCAGATCCCTCTTTAGACTCCGTACCCGCCGTGGGCAATGTTACCTCCGAGGTTTTCAAGTCTTTCACTTTGCGCGATCGGTCAAGTTTTGCAGGCATGGTCAAATTTGCCAGATCGAAACTTCCGGTCAATCAATAGAGAGAAAAAATGGGCTAGAAAAAAGATAATACTGGAACTTGCCGAGGGATGGGTTGAAACAAGTGAATACGTATCCACTGTAGAAGCTATAGCAGTTGTGAAGAAAAGGATATCCGCGTGACAGGAGCACAAAATAGTTGAGAAAAGTAAGGAAAAATAGATGACTGTGAGAGATAAGCGGCGACGCAGCCGCTCAACGTGACGGACAAGGATCGAATGATGATCGAATGATGCGGTCCAAACACTCCCCGTCCCCTTCGCTTAGGCTGCACCGAGGATTAGCACTCTCCACACTATTCCTGCGATAAGTGACTCTGTCGAAGCCATGGGTAAACGGTCATGGACAGTCAAAGACTATGGGTGGACTTCAACAAGAAGAACCTCGGGTATGTGACAAGAGGATCGTAATTTGCCGCGCTGCTGGGCGTCGCGTGCGACGTCCCGCCCGCAAAGGACGATGGTTTCAGGCAGTAGATGGCGACAACATGCAATTAAGGACCGAAAACAGTAATGAGTGTCTACGATGACGGGGTCTACATGAAGTCCGGTGCTTCATTCGACAGGTTAAAACGAGTTATGAAAACGCCGCGCCCATCGCCGCGCGTGGCGGTGCGGCGAATTACGATCCTCTTTACCGTCTCCCAAGAACCTCACTGAAATCAGAGCTCTGGCTAAAGGTGCTTTGTGTGTAGTCTTACAATGGACATGTCACCCCTAGGGAATAACGCAAAGGAAAGGAGATGAGGATGTCTCAAAATACTCACAATAGATGACCTGATTTGTTGCTGCTGCACGTGGAGCAGCAAAGAGGCCGATTCACCCTGAATTCGAAGAAGTTCAAGCCGGGAAAATTCATTTTCTGAATAACCATGTCAGCCGAGAGGAACATAGGACCGTAGAAGGGGAACTGGCTCCTGTTAGGTTGTTTCAGCAACGCAACAGGCAACAAATTCGACAAGCCCATCACGAATCTCCTACTGTGAAATCTCATACTGTGATCATGCGGCGTTCTCCATTCCCTAACCTGAGCATGAAATGACTGTTTTTTTGTGTCGCAAAGAAGCGTCCTGGGGTAGCGGTTCTTGGCCTTCACAAAGGCTGCGTTTATACTTTGCGGCAGCGTAGCGTAGCGCTTCCAGCGTACGCCAGCGGCAGTGCCGGGGAGAGGATGCATATCGATCTAGCGTTCCCAGCGCGTCACGCCAGCGTTTCTCCAGCGTTTCACCAGCGTTTTGCTAGCGTTTGCAGCGGCAGGGGAGTAGAGACTATGGGAGAGCTGGAG